TTCCTATTACCACTATAGGAATAATTACATCGTATCTCTGAAATGTGTTGAGCGTGAGATCCTTCCTGTTTGATTTGGCATCAGGCAGAACGATGGTTAGCTTATTGCCAAAGAGAATAGTAACTAACTCAGGACTGCTACAGTAACTAACTTAGGACTGTTTATGGGAAGCACATTTAAATATCTCAAAAACACCTGATCCCTTATTCGAAATATGGATAGCCATCCATAAATAGTCAGCGTATGTGTCGTGCCACCACATTCAAGCGGTGATCCTGATAGGCCATCTCGGGTTAAATTTGTCAAGCTTGCATACACACAAGTGTTTGTCAAAACTTGAAAAACTTACCGACGCGATGACTTACAGAAAACTCCGCGTCATCAACAACGCTAGCCATTTATGAATGGCTGTCCATTGTGGAAAACCATGAAGTCCTAGAACCTACATGATCAGAACGGCTACTCCTCCTCAGCCTAGAATCACGCTCATCATCATCATCATTTTCATCTTCTAACAATGACTCTTCTTCAGACGATACTCTAAATCCAATTCATAAAAATTCGGATTCTCCTCTGAAGGTATCCATAAGGATTTGAAGAGATAGGCACTATTCGCTCCTCTGCCTCACTCTTGGAGATACAGGGCAGAATGACCAGAAGTTTTTATTCAGGGGTAGATTAAAGACAGTTCCAGCCATCAAGTGGTCCGTGAAATGCCTCCGTGCATTTGTCATCGTTGTCCGCATTCGCAGAGGACATACACACTTTAGTCACTCAAAACGGTGAGATAAGCAAGCTAGAGACGCGTGAGTATTGCAACCATTGCAACCACGATTACTTTCACACTGCATGAACGGCTTACAAGCGGAATTGCGTGTGTACATAGCGTTGCCTGGAGCGTCGTAGGGTGATTTCCTATGCTCTTGCCGGTAATTGGTGCACGTCGAATACTGATGACTGGGCTTGCCCGACAAACTCGTCCATGACGCCGGCCCCAGGCTGGAGGGGGGGGGGGCTCTTCAGGGCGTTCCCAGAGTATTTTTCCGCCTTTCCCTCTGATGGGTTGTTACTTATGGGCCACTGATTCATGATTGAATACAACTACCCGTAACACTTGATCGCGGGAATTGTCCTTGGGCCAGAGCTTATGTTAGTCTCCGACGGCACCTTGACTCCGTGAACCATATATCTGAAGGCAAACTGTACAGTCGCCTCTGAAGATGGCCCTCACCATGTGCGACACAAATAAGGCCGCAGCTCCAGTAACGTGCCGCTTCCTCCGCTTAAAATGAAAGGGAACGGGATCGGTGTGGTTATACTGGGTGCCGTCTGGCCGTTTCGCCCGCGCTATCCTCAAGACCCAACACCTGCGCCGATACCAAAATCTCGCATCGAACACAGTCAGTGGTAGAAAACAACCAGAAGCGAGAGGGTGCAGAATACGCAGCGCGTTAGGCTATGGTTAGGCGTGAGGCTGGTCGTGCAGCAACGCAAACGAGTATGAATACGCCAATCGGGTAACACTCCCCTTCAGCCCGTTCCCGTGCACTGTATGACCGGATAAAGTGGCATGTTACTGCAGCTGCTGACCCATTCACTTCACGCATGTCAGTGATCAGGATCCACGGAGGTGAGTGTACAGCTTGTCTTCAAAACGAAAGTGCCTGGCGTCAGCGCCTTGACAGCGTATGAATGAGGCGTTTCGAAGCTAGTGTAATATTCGAGCTTATGAGGTCAAAACACTCTTCGGGACAAGTTTCCAACACTTTCCGTGCTTTGAAGTGTTTTGGGGCCGGCGCCTGTGACGCGGGCTAGGCGGTTTCTAGCCGAACAAAAAAGATTCGTGTTCGGGAGGTCAAACTACCCTGATATACGAACTTCTAGCCAAATTGTATCCTCGAGGAATTTCCATCGAAATCTGGCCATAGTTCCGGAGTGAAGCAGTCAAGAGTAAATAGTGTCACAGATAGAATAACAAACAGGAATGAAGAACGTACCTTGAACCGGGTGGGAATACAGCATCCCTCAAGACTCGTATGTTATTTATTAAAGTAGTAGCCAATATTGGATAACTGGTTGTGATAGTAAATACAGGAAACAGTGCAAGGAAATGATCACATGCAAAGTAAAACACAGAAGTCATGTCGTCGTGAAGGAAATTCAACGTATACACATCCTAGAAAAGATCACAAATCACTTTAGTACCACAAGATTGACTTATTTGCTTTGAAAATGATGAATAGATGAAAACGATTTTACATTTTACGGGAGGAACAGCCTACGGTCTTGTTCGCTCTGGACTCTGTAGCGGTTCACGTGGGAGAGGGAGGGGGGAGGAAGGCTGTTTTAGCGAGCCCTGGCCTGCTCCACCAATTGTGAAAGTATGCAGGCAAGCAGGCGACTATAGCTGGTAGAAAGTAGGCTGGCGCCGCGCCAAACCCAGCCACCGAGGGCCCGAGCGAACAAGACTGTACTAATACTTCGCTTTGGCCTGAAATCCTAAAAACTCCGTGGAAAGTATGAATGCAACCTCAGCTAATTTGGCATAGCCTTTATTGTAAATTCATTCGAGTCATGACAGCTTACTTTCCATTTATTCACGGCCTCAGCAAAAAGAAACCTGATAGTCGATACGACTGAAACCGTTGAAAATCAAACGCGATCTCGCATTGGCCCTTAAAACTATAAGAAAAAGAATAAAAAAATGTACCCAAATTCTAACGAATGTCGACTTTTTTCAAGATACAGCCGTGGAATAGTAGGGGACGTAACCTGCCATGACCTCTAATTGGGAGGTGGTCGTTTGGCGCGATCACATTGTAGTTGTCGTGTTCTGACAGGTAACCGTACGCCTAACAAGGTTAACTTGTCCGAATCATTGAACTAGATGGTTTTCGTGAGTTATATCCCACCGAAAGCCGTGAGTGTTGGCTGTTGTGTTCATGATTTTAGGCCAAGTCTTCTTCTAATGACAACTTAGGGAAATACATTGGTTTGGAAGTTTGGACGAGTTGCTTCACCTGGAAGTCGGTTTGCCTGACATGTTTTGACGCGTAGGCGACAAAAAAATCGCGCCAAACGACACACTAATTGATTCGAACCGCAAAGCCGTGCTGAACTAGCTAGGAGAATTGGTTTTCAAGAAATGCAGTGCCTAGGAAGTCTTGAAGTAATATGAAGCTTTTCATGCTTTGATCAGACGCCTAAAGTTTTCGCAACACTTTAGGTTGAAGTGCGTTTGGCTTGAAATATTCAAGTGTTTCGATCTTCGTCATTATTACAGTCCCATTCGCTGTCGATGGATGGGGCGTGTCAGCGCTGCTGCGTTTGACACGCTGCCAGTCCACTCTCCACCAGTTGCTGAAGACGTAAGTGACAACAACTGATGGAAAACGACTGAACGCAACTTAGCGGGAAAAATGGTTGGCGCCGCGCCAAACACAGCCGCGCTGACAAACCCCGTATTCGCAGCGAACGAAACTATAGCTATATTTCGGATGAAGGTGCTTGAATTGACTAACCTCAACTGACTAGCGACAGAAACTTTGATTAAGGTTACCTGCACGTGAGTGAAAGCGAAAGATCCAGTTATAGAAAGCGTGAAGTAAAATGACAAAACGACAAGATATACACCGGACAATTTGAAGAATAAACCAGTTTTTGATCTAAAAAAGCAGATGGACATCATGTTATCGAGTAAAACCGAACCACATTCACCTCATTGGAGTAATTATGGCTGGAATACTATGATGGCACATAAAGGCATACACTGCAACACCAAACAGTGAACCAAATCCATGAATATTAGCAGCTGGAGGTGTTGTCGCAGGACCGTTGGTAATAATTTGTGCTGCAGCCAAGCATATCATCAAGATGAAAGCTGAAAAATTGTTTTCTTTGGAATAGAATGGGATAAAAAGAACGCTTCCGCAGCAGAGGGCACGGAAAATGGTTATACATATTGCAAGTATTGTTGTGATCCCTGCGAATGACAGGGCGTGGATTGGAGCGCTGCTAAGGCAACCTTGCTCCCAATGATCACATCGTGAGCCTGCAACAGTGGGCGGGAAAGGCTGTTCTGGCTGCGCTCCAACTCATTCTCCCTTCACACGCCTCATAGTTTGCACGAATAAGGACTGTAAGTAAACGGCGGGTACCTTCCCCCCCCCCCCTCCAACCGCTACACGTGAGATAATATACGTAAGAATACGGATTTGTCCCTATGCGAGTAACATTGTACATTAGGCGATCAGGAGGCTCGTCCTAATGTTAATAAAACTTTCTTAAAAATGCCACCCTCCCACGACTGGGGGAAGGTCTTTGGGCAACTACCAGGAATAGTAAAATTGCTGCGCCGCCTACTAGTAATGTAACGCCTCGGTTGCTGCGATCTTGTGACGTGCCACAGGGCTGGGCTTGGCGCGGCGCCAGTCCGTTCTCCATCAATTGCTAGCACTTGTCCCGCTTCAACGATTGGTGGAGTACTGGTTGGAGCTGCGCCAACCACCTTTCCCTGAGACGCCTCAGCATCTCCGCAGCGAAGAAGACCACGTAAAACAGGAAAAGCAACAGACGCAAAATTTTCTGCCAAGTCATACACGACCCCGTCCGTTCCCCTTACCCTCGGGAACCCCAGAATACGGCGTGTTTATTAACACTTCTTGAAATATGAAATAAAAACATAACTTACCAGTCCACCTGCATATTGATGTGGCTAGCTGCAAGTATTTCGTTTTTGTTATGCCAATGATGACCATCGGTGTGCAGACCATAACAAAGAGTAGTATGCAAAATCGATATACTGAAAAAAAAGACTATGTAGTATTAGAAGCACTTCTAATCGCGCCTAGGCTTAATATCTGGTACAGAACATGCTGATCCTTGATTTTTTTTCGTCAACTATTTCCTGTCATTCGTTTGTCAACCCCAGCTCACTGATAAGACCAGTGACGAAACAACACCAGACGCTTAGGGACGGGACATACCCTTTGTGTTTTATGGTAGTTTTTTATATGCCTTTTTTCTTTCCTTTCTAGGTCCCCGTATCGGGCGCACAAGATGCACCTGGGGTAGCATGAATAATCTGCCGATAACAAGGGGTCATTTTATGCGCCTTGGCTGACGAATGCGTGAGAGCGACGGCCCGCCATAAAAATTCGCGCAGAATATGGGACTGTAAAAAAACAGCGAAAAGATTTCAGGGTGCAGATCGATCTGGAGAGAGCACCAAATGTCACTCAGCGATGTACAGACCATTTTGTGAGGACCTGTAAATTCCTGAAACTAAAGGGGCTCACTTGTACACCACTGCATCTTCATAAGAGTTTACTTGGCACATCAAAGTTAGAACTATTACTTAAAGGCGGAGGGCAGAATCGCTGGGGCGGGCGGTTGTTGTCAGCATCATTGGTGGAAGGGCAGCGAGAGGGCGTTTGGCTTTATCCCATTCAGCCCTTCAATCAATGACATTGGCGACAACAGCCTGCCCCCAGCGATCGTGCCCACTGCCTTTAACATGAACTAGCAACATTCGGCGAAAAAGCAAAATTCCCCTCGACTTCGTACCTGTAAAACGATGTAACCAATGGGGCCAGCTTTCTCGACATGGATCCGTAGGCATTACATGAGAAACATTTATAGGAGCACTAAAATCAAACTTGACAAAGAGAAAGGGGCGTGTAGATACAAAATTGACGACCTCTTACCATATGACATTCATTAGAGATTTGGGAACTGTCGTCGTGTATATAGTGAGATCACCAAAGAGGTAGATACATAGTGATAAATAGCAGAATATTACTCCTATCCGGCCAACAAACATTGACGCCATTTTACCCTATAGGCGAATTTGTAAAACAATTGGATTATTATAACCTTAAACATAGTATAACAATACTTACAACTTCAACTTTCTCGACGATTTCGAACGAAGACGGACCACTTTCCGTGATAACCACATCTGCAAAGTGTTCATTGAGGCCGAACGAGGAAGCTACGAAATCTTACTACGTACTTAAAAGACACATTCAGCACACCCTGTAAGTGTTGAGGCGGGGTAGTCGGGGACATGAACCACGCAATTTCTGTGGCAAGCTAAATGATCTCGGCAGTGCAGGAAAAAGCAGAACTTGGCACGAATAACACGCGCGCTCAAATTTCGTTGGCTGATTGAACATTAAGGCACGCCATGACGCGTGGTGCAGAGGACGCAAGAGTGCTCACCACGGGAACCCAAAGACTCGGGAACTGCGGGCGAGGGATCAAACATCGGGCAACAATTGGATGTGACATCAAACTATATACCATTTTCATTTTAAATCGGACACTTTTCAAACCAAATCGGACACTTTTCAAATCAAATCGGACACTTTTCAAATCAAATCGGACACTTTTCAAACCAAATCGGACACTTTTCAAACCAAATCGGACACTTTTCAAATCAAATCGGACACTTTTCAAACCAAATCGGACACTTTTCAAACCAAATCGGACACTTTTCAAATCAAATCGGACACACCCCTTACAATTAGGTGGTTGATAACTAGACCACACTAGGTACTGTTGCAAGCCCCGCCTCATTATCTCCGTCCATTTCTCAGCGCGGAGAGAGTTTTCCGAGATACTTCATGAATGTGCTCCCTCGACTTTTTTCGTTTTTGCTCTTTGCACACACACTTCAACTAAAAAAGACTGATACCCACACAGATCTGACTCCGCCCACTTAACAATGAAGTACGTAAGTTCTGAATTTTTATAACTTTTATCGACGTAGTTCTTTTCACATCCAATCTTCACAAAACGAATAACCATGCACAGCACACCAGGCCCCGCCCCTCTGACCCCGCCCACTTGTGTTTATCGCGGAATTTTGGTTTTTCTTCCGGATTTTCGCTTTTTTAGGCTTTAGCGATTGGCTCCGCCCACCAATGGAAGCTCCGCCCACTTTGGGGAAGCCCCGCCCACTTTTCAAAATAGAATGCAAACTCGGCGGCTAGCTGTCCGTACTGGGGCGGAATTACGGCGCTTCTCCCCGTTGCTTGAGAACAAAGTTTCCGCTTTTTTCCGGGTTTTTATTTTCCTTTTTTTTATTCTAAGGGGGGGGGGGGGGGGGGGGGGTGGTGCGGGGAGCGGCCGTATCCGCCAGTACGGACACTAGACAACCGCCGATTTGCATCATTTTCGAAAAGTGGGCGGGGCTTCCCCAAAGTGGGCGGAGCTTCCATTGGTGGGCGGAGCCAATCGCTAAAGCCTAAAAAAGCGAAAATCCGGAAAACCAAAATTCCGCGATAAACACAAGTGGGCGGGGTCAGAGGGGCGGGGCCTGGTGTGCTGTGCATGGTTATTCGTTTTGTGAAGATTGGATGTGAAAAGAACTACGTCGAAAAAGTTATAAAAATTCAGAACTTACGTACTTCATTGTTAAGTGGGCGGAGTCAGATCTGTGTGGGTATCAGTCTTTTTTAGTTGAAGTGTGTGTGCAAAGAGCAAAAACGAAAAAAAGTCGAGGGAGCAGATTTCATGAAGCATCTCGGAAAACCCTGTCCGCGCTGAGAAGTGGGCGGGGATAATGGGGCGGGGCTTGCAACAGTACCTAGTGTGGTCTAGTTATCAACCACCTAATTGTAAGGGGTGTGTCCGATTTGATTTGAAAAGTGTCCGATTTGGTTTGAAAAGTGTCCGATTTGGTTTGAAAAGTGTCCGATTTGATTTGAAAAGTGTCCGATTTTGATTTGAAAAGTGTCCGATTTGGTTTGAAAAGTGTCCGATTTGGTTTGAAAAGTGTCCGATTTGATTTGAAAAGTGTCCGATTTGATTTGAAAAGTGTCCGATTTAAAGTGAAAATGGTATAAAATGGGTGGAGCCAGACTAAAAACGCAGGGCCGCAGCTAAGTCACAGGCCTCTGGCGTTTTCAAAAGGCTTTTTTCGGGTGGTGTAATGGTTCATACATTCGACTTTACACCTCCTTATCGTGAACAGGAAGGATTTCATCTACCAAGTTACAGGAAAGTATCTTTGAAAGAGAAGGGAGCAGAATCTTCATGGATTTTGGCTTCTGAAAGACGGTGTGCCAGCGCCTGAACTACTGTATGGTTGTGTTGCCTTAGCACGATGGGATGTTCCACAGTCCTGGGTTTGGCGCGGCGCCAGCTTGTTACCCCCAGTTGTGGTCGTATGTTTGCATTCATGACTGGTGTAGAACAGACTGGCGCCGCGCACATTCGCACCGGCCCCCTGGAAGGCCCCAGGGTTCGCAGCGACCAAAACTGTAACTCATATTACTTCCCATCGGCGCACTCAGTTCTGAGTGCATGGTGAAAACAATGTGAATTCCTAAATGACAGCATCCATCATGAAAAATTTTTATTATAATGGCTGCGACGTTATCGCAAACCATAATAATAAAGATATTACAAAATGTCCTACAGTAATGTGTTTTCGCTGGCACATAACACCAAGGAATTATCTCATACGGAAGAAGTGTACTCCGACTTTGAGTTCTTTCTCAATCAGAGGCAGACAATTTAACGCCGATTATAGCTTTTAGGCAAGGAGGTTCGAATATGAAATAATTAGGAGCTAAATAATTCAACAGTGATAGGAAAAAAGAAGAAAAACTGTGAAAGGTCCTCAGTAGGATCTCTTTCATTTCGGTCATTGTAGAAGTAAGCGAAGAAAAGAGACGGCGTGTGAGGGAGAGAGACCAGCCAAAGGAGCGGGAGGACAGAGAGCACGACGATATACAGTCGTCATCCGGGCACTTGATTAGGGCGGCAAGGGTCGCGACGCGGCTGCAGCGCGTCACGACCGCGGCGATCAGCTGTTTCCAGCCTAATTTGGCCATTTTCTCCCTAATTTTCACTGCATTTTCTATTTTTTTTCAAGGTTAGTTGTTTTATTGTCTTTATGAAGTACATGAGGAGCGTGGAGTCTTTTTTGTTTCTGTAATAGAGTGTTTTTGCGATTTTTTTTCAGGTTTTTCTCTGCCTAACTGTTTAATTGTGCGCAAAAAACAGAGGAATCTCAATCATAATTTACCTTGTGAAGACAAGGAACAACTAATCTTGAGAAAAGCAGCCATAACAGTGTAAATTAGGGAGAAAATGGCTAAAATAGGCTGGAAACAGCTGATCGCCGCGCTCGTGACACGCCGCAGCCGCGTCGCGACCCTTGCCGCCCTAATCCAGGGCCCGGGGACGACTGTATGCTTATGGGTACAATGCAGAGAGTTCTAGAGAAAACTAATTAAATTTAATTAAACTGGAATGAAATCGCAAAGTAATGAAATCCTGCTCCCTAGGATAAGGAAATACTGGTTAAATACCCGAGTTCATCAGATGCAGCGATAAGGTAACACAGATCAGCTCCGACGGAATGCCGCAGTGAACATTATTGTAATAGGGGAAAGATAACACTTATCCCCGAAGTGTAACAAATTTGTACTCAGTAAAAACTAGTAGTATTTGAACCAAATTCTACTGAAACATCGTTGAAACAGAGCGATCGTTCTTCGCGTTTCACTAAATTACTGTTTATCTCCCTGCATATGAAGAAGCACAAATAGTGATAATCACGTAATGGGGCCAGCCATGTGCACTCATCTTTACGAATACATAAAAGAAATGCAAATAGTGATAATGACGTAATGGCCTGCCGTGTGCGCTTATCTCTACGTACTTTTAAAAAATATCCCTTCATCACTATGTTTATCTTGAAGTTCAGTCTCCTTGCGAAATAAACAAACAACTTCCAAAACACACACACTAGTTTTCAAAATTTATCTATTCCAACTATTTTATATTTATACATTTCATACTCATTTTACACAACACGGAGGTGATGCAGCGGCAAGTGATACCGCTTTCTATGATAAAGTGCGAGGGGGCGGGAGAATGTTGAATACCCGATTGGTTCTCGCATAGGGCAACCAAGGCTTATATCTCACAGCGGCTGGATGACTGGTACTAGACTCTCTTGAGAGGGTTGTATGAGTGAGCTCATACATTGGCCAAACGCGGCAAGTCAAGGGCCAGATCGTATTCAGAACGCCACTGCGACTTCAATCAGCACATGCCATGCCATGGGAAAAATTCTGCAAAATACGACCCCCTCCCCGAATCTCCTCTGGTACGAGAAATAAGGGGTACATAGCACCAAAGCAACGGGAAAAACCAAGAAAAGTCAACAGCCAAGAATATTTTCCTCAAAAGCGAATACGACCTTCCCTTCCTCGACCAACCAGATACGACCCCGTTCATTAGGGATCCCTAGCGTCGAAGGGCTTCGTTCTGAAGAGAAGTGGTATGTCCGGCGCATCCAGAGGGAAATGACCAACCCCTTGAGCTCCTCGTTTTCTTATCTATAAAAGGCTTTGCCCTTTTTTGATCATACCATCTATATCAAAAGCTACTATGTACTCACAATCAGTGGATTAGCTTGAAAAAGAGGGTGGGAAGTAAGCTGGTATTCTACTCAACATTTCACATTTCTCATTCTCTGCTTTTCGCTGCAGACGCTGGGTCGAGTCATAGGTGTTGGATTTGGCTCCGCGCAGTCCGTCTTCCACCAACTGCTACCGCTTGTCTCTTCAACAGTTGGTCGAGAATGAGCTGACGCCAAGCCAAATCCACCCAACTGCCCTCTCCCCCCACTTTGACAACGGCCGGCGGGTCGCAGGGTCTGTCGCGAAAAGTCAGAGTTGAATTAATGCACTGACACCTTGAATCACACTGCACTAGACAGTTCAAGTGCTTGGTCGCAGAATTTACAACTTCTTACTCCACTGCAGAAAAAAACCGCGATAACGGCTTAGTTTTTTTTCGTATTTACCCAGTTTTTTATGACTCAGCTCCTGCCTTGGTGGAGACTTCCAGATCGCTAGTGTAAACAGCTTCAAAGAGCTAAGTTTCTGTGCAATCACAGACGGGATTTCTAAGCTACTGTGAAGAAACTTTAGAAGAAAGCTTTTATTCAAACTTTTCAAATACTTGAGGACGCGATCACTACTGACAATAAAGCCCTTCTAAAAATCATTGAACGATGAGAAATGTATCAGATCGTTCGATGTTCCACCATAGTCACCTCCATGTAGAGAGAGAGATATTGCCTCGATTTGTAAATGTTCAAAATGAGTTTACAAGGGAGATACCTACATGACGTTGTACTTATCTATGTTCTAAAACCCTCGAGAAGATCTGAAAAGCAGATTATTCCAGTTCCCTGTAGTCGAGCCACAAACTCAAGGACCTTTGTATTGTTCAATGGGAAACAAAAAAAGCAGTTGAACTTTGGCACACTAATTTTCACGCCTTGTTCTAACAATAATAGAATAGTGACTTCTTCGCAGTCGGCGGTTAACTAGGTAAATCCGCTTTCTTCGTCGAGGATTTTTACACGCCTGTACAAAGTTTCGTCGAAACCATTAGGACGAAAGATGCGCTTAACGGTTTGGAGAGCAATTCCTGAGTCTTAAAGACAGCCGCCGCACACAACCTATCGTTAGGCTGCGTTGATACTTTGTGGTGTCGTCCGCCAGCGAACAATACGTCCACCAGCGTTACGAGATTCCAGCACAGTCAGCGACTAGAAAGTATAGATATCCTAGCGTCTGACAGCGCCTAGCAGCTCTGCTAGTGTCCACCAGCGACCTAATAACATAGTGCGGTAGAGAGTATGAGACGATAGGAGAGTACCAGCTGTCTGCTAACCAGCTGTACCAGCTGTCTCCTATTTCCCCATACTGCACCAGCTGTCTGATACCCTCCTATCGCCCTATACTCCCACTCCCGGACGCTGCTGGTCCTTGGTAGATGCTGGCAGACGCTAGATCGAAGCATATTACCCAGCCCTCGAGACACTGCCGGTCGGTGGTGGACGTTGGCAGACTCTGGACCGATATCAATACCTTCCCAGTCGCTGAGGCTGCCGGACGCTCGGAACGCTGGTGGACGCTATTTTCGTGGGCGGACGCTGCCGGAAAGTATCGACGCAGCCTTAGGCATCCTTCTTTGTTCAAGTAGTCTGGTCTGCATTTCTGAAACTGTACCACATTCGCGGCTTGATAGTCAGTAACGAGGGTTCTACGGTCCTCATAAATGGCAGCTCTGACGACCATAGTTGCACCACCTAAAACTGTCTATTTACACTCAACACCGAAGCGCTCAGTTGTTCGATGGTGCAGCGAGCATAAATACGAACTGCGTATCCATATCTGCTAACCGCTTCCGTGATCATAAGTAATTCTGCACTCCTTCATTACCTTTTTTCAGTAGAAGCACATGCAGTCAAAAGCAGTCCATTTGCAAGGTAAGAAGCGTTCAAGTACAAGCACCTGATTCCAGTACCACGCGCTTTCAACGAAAGCGATCCATTATCTGCGAATGCCACTTCCTACCAAATGCAAGGCAGTGTTTTACTTATCAGGTAACCGCCAATGGTCCCTTACTGTATATAAAAACTACTGTACTTCGCCCAATTCCTTACAGAAACTCTACACCGACAATAAACTTATTCTGTGAGTGAATAGAAACGCAGGAGTGATTCGTACAGGTAAAAATACTAAGCAAAATCTAGAATTGCATATTTTCATAGTCTTGACCCTAGTCGGGACCGAGCTCACACCCCACGCTTTCGCGAAGCGTCTCACCTGGGGTCAAGGCTTTTGCCATTGACTCCTTTGACCTTCTTGGGATGATCTCGGAGCGCGTATTGCGAAAAAAAAACCGAAAAATCTCGGAACACTTTGAACAGAGACCCCAGTAGCAATGGACGCCTTGGACGCGTTCGTCGGGCGCCGGCGCGCACAATCACCATGATTCGACGTGGAAATCACCCTACGACGCTCCAGGCAACGCTATGTACACAAGAAATTCTGCTTGCAAACCGTTGTCTGAAGAGTGAGAGTAATCGTGGATCACGCCGTCTCGGCGAAAGTGGTATATTCTCGGCGAATGCGGACAACGATGCCAAATGCTGGGAGGCATGAGCGGACCACTTGATAACGGGAACAAATCTTGGATTGGCTCCAGCCCAGGTTACCTAAACCTTCCATCCCTCCTGGGTACTTAAACTGGTACCAGACTTAGATACACATAAGGAGATGAAAAAATCCAAGGCGTGA